CTACAAGTAACCAATAAAAATCCTATACTCTCCTCCCTAATCTGTTTGCAAGCATTTTATTTTAAAATTCAATTATTTTTCCAAAAAGAATGAAATTGAACAAAAGTAGCATAAGCCTTAGATTTAAGTTTCAAAGGATATATCCAAGTAAACCTACTAAATTCATCAACAAATATGATATAATACTTGTACCCTTCATTAGAACTCACAAGAGTTGGACCCCATAGGTCAGAATGCACTAACTCTAAAGGAACTTTAGCTCTAGAATTAGATATAGGAAAATGACATTGTTGCAAATTTCCATATCGACATGCCTCACAATAGAAACTTTTATTGTTGTATAAAGATTGTTTTACATTTAGTTTATTCAAAACAGCATGAAGTGTTCTACCATTGGGGTGGCCTAATTTTGCATGCCACAANGATGAACAGTGTGGACTAGAGAGGGGAATTTCACTATGAGCAAATTGAGAAACTCTTGAGGTCACAGAAACCAGAGAAACATCTGATGACTGTAATGGAGAATTAGTTGATGACTGTAGTGGGATGGGCTAGTAACTGAATCAGGGATAGTTAAGAATCAGTTGAGTGGGAAGCTAAGTGGGTGCACTTGTGTGAATATCACTTGATATAGCAGAATTTTCTGGAGATGTAGAGTGGTTAAAACCAGTTTTGAATGGAAAATTTGTCTCATGAAACTTCACTTGCTTGACAATATACACTTAGCCAATAGAAGCAAGCCACAAGTAACCTTTGCAAAAGAGACTATATCCCAGAAAAGCACATTTCTCTGTATGATAACATAGTTTATGCTTATTATAGGGTCTAAGGTAAGAGTAGCAACTACATCCAAACATTTTCAGGTCAGTATAGATAGGCTCTTGATGGAATAATATAAAGTAAGGAGACACAAACTCAAGAGCTGAGTGAGGCAATTTGTTCAACAAAGAGGTTGCTGAACTAAAAGTTACCCACCAATATTTTAATGGCATACTAGCATGAGCCAACAAGGATAAACCAAACTCAATAATTGACCTGTGTTTCCTTTCAACTCTCCCATTTTGTTGGTGCAAATGTGAACAAGAATGCCATGCTTCTACAAGTAACCAATAAAAATCCTATACTCTCCTCCCTAATCTGTTTGCAAGCATTTTATTTTAAAATTCAATTTTTTTTCCAAAAAGAATGAAATTGAACAAAAGTAGCATAAGCCTTAGATTTAAGTTTCAAAGGATATATCCAAGTAAACCTACTAAATTCATCAACAAATATGATATAATACTTGTACCCTTCATTAGAACTCACAAGAGTTAGACCCCATAGGTCAGAATGCACTAACTCTAAAAGAACTTTAGCTCTAGAATTAGATATAGGAAAATGACATTGTTGCAAATTTCCATATCGACATGCCTCACAATAGAAACTTTTATTGTTGTATAAAGATTGTTTTACATTTAGTTTATTCAAAACAGCATGAAGTGTTCTACCGTTGGGGTGGCCTAATTTTGCATGCCAAAACAAAAGCAAATCTAAACTTGCTTGATTAGCTAGAGACTTATCAAAAGGACACACAGCAGTAGGGAACGCAGTAATAATTTCCATGCCGAGATGAGAATGAGCTTCAGATGGCAAAGCAGTAGTAGTAGGACAGGAAACAAACTTCACAAGTGGATTGATAGGCTGTGTTAGTTCAAGCTGATACAAGTCATCCTTTACCGTGCCTCGAAGTAGAACCTCTATACTGCTTTTGTCCTTTACGAAGCAATGGTCAGAATGAAATTCAATAATCGCATTATTATCCTTAGTGATTTGCAAAATACTTAACAAATTCTTTGCAATTTGTGGAACACAAAGGATATCCCTAAGATGAATAAGTCTATGAGGATCAAAAGAGGATCCCAGTAGCATACCTATTTGAGTAATGGGAATAGATTATCCATTACCAACTTGCACCTTGGAACCTCCTGGATAAGTAGGCTTCAAAGCCAGGTTTGATGCATCTGCAACCATGTGATTTGATGCTCTACAATTCATATACCAAGACTGATCATGGACTGTATGTGGAGTAGCTACTATCTGATAAGAAGAGGCAGAGGGCAATGATGTATCAACAACAACTTTTGATGAATCATTAGGATCAGTCTCAAGATATGTAGTCTAAAGTTGATTAACAAGATGAGACTAGTGATTTCTTGGACATGAGAAAGATGAAATAATATAGTTATTTGGCTTACTAGGTGTGAGCAAGAAATCCAGGTAGAACGGGAACCATTAGATAGTGGGGTTTCGGTTCCAGTTCCTACCTAGAATCGGCATGGAAAAGGTTGGTTTCAGTTCCAAATTGGTGGGACTGACATTATGTGATTTTGTTCTGGTTCCACCACTTCAGAAAACGAAATCGAAACCGAGGTCTGGGTACCCGAGGTGGAACCAATGGGTGTTGGGTTATATTTGTAATTTTTGTTAATTAATGGGGTGTAGTGTAATTTCACAAAATATATTTGTCAGTGTAGTGTAATTTCACAAAATATATTTGTCAGTGTAGTGTAATTTCACAAAATATATTTGTCATATTGATGAATAATACAGGGGTATTCGTAATTTTTCTAAGTACCCTAAACCAAAACTGGAGCCTGTTTTTAAGGTCCAAGTTCCAACTATTGAGGAATTGGAATCGGCTGATTCCGGTTCTTGTTCCTTGGAAAAAGGGCAGGTACCCGAACCCGATCACCCCTACCCATTACCATAGCATTTCCCTCTGCTACACAGGCAAGCTGAGGTTAAAGGCCATTTATTGCCCATTTTCGCCACCACATGAGTGTTACAAAACATTATTAAGTAAACGTTAGAGTCAAGGCTCTATAAAATCATGGGGGCCAGTCAAAGGGCAAGTGTGTTGAATGAGGTGAATACGCACATTTTACTCCAAAATATTACTCCAACATCCTATACACTCCCATTTAAAATCTGTAAAATAAATTACATTATATTTGCTGAAATCTTTTCTCTAAAACTCGTCACTTTAAAAGCTGAATGTTTTTTATAAAACATTGAAAAGAAAATTAAATTATTGTAAATAGATGGTGACACAGACCACAAAGGCCATACCAAAACATAAGACTTTTTCGGGGTCGGTAATAAAATCTTTTTCTAACACCATTGAAAATCGAACCATCATGCTGTAAAAGAAGACAACTGGAGATAGGTAAAGAGTCATTGTTTTATTCAAAAGTCGTTGTTGACTAAAATCCCAAATAAATTAGAATTCCAAATGGAAGCATTAATTATCATATAATTATACAATTAAATATATAGGATAATGCAGACTAAAGTTTTGCCAATGTTTAATTAAAGAACCAAATATTTTACGTAGGTAGGGACTAAAATCAAAGGGCTGTATTATTTTTATTTTCTCATACGTGATTTGTCGACCCAAAACATGTTTTCCTAGAATCTTCATGTTCTTAATTCCTAATATTCTCCACGATCTTAATTCCTAATCTTCGTGATCACTACAAAAATGATCTTAGTCGGATTATGCAGATATTACAATCTTATTGGTATGGCTTTTATGTGTTACAGTACCTTTTGATTTAGTGGAAGGTGTGACATGTGCCAATAATGGCACCGGCCCACACTACCATTTCTCAGGATTTAAACCAATGTTTTAAAACCTGACCCAAGGGGTGACCCGGTCAGGTGATTCGGTCATGGGTTAACCGGTTTAATCGGTTAAATCGTTGGTTTAATCGATGGTTTAATAGGTTTGAAATCTAACAAACACACCCCTGATAAAATCTATCAGTCGCTATAGGTTTGAAATCTAGCAAACACAACCCTTGGCTAAATGCAAATTGGTGATCAACTGGGAGAATGGCGACGACAAACCAGGGAGGGTAGATCGGGTGATGGGGAGGACGAATCGACAGTTGACAAGTTGAGGCATCATCGGAAAATAGCAGATCAGGGGTCGAAGTCAAACGATCACGNCTGAAAAAACATCTAGAATGGATGAACTGTTTCATTAGCGGCCGGGGCGGGGAGACCTCTATTTTTGTCCCCACCCTATCCTCAAGGACGGGGAATTTCCCAGTCCCCGTCCTTGTCCGCGTCCCCCATTTTTTGGTATGAAGGGAAGTGATTTTGAACGACTAATGCTAATTGAGCTACACTAAAACTTTTTGAGGCCCATTTTATATAATATCATTATTAACTATTATTTGATCAAATATATCGTAATTTATTTCAAAATTGTCTTTTTTATTAATATAGTAAAACCTCTATATAGTCATAACGGTAGAATCAATTAATTTTATCACTACAAAGAGATTATAACTTAATAGAGATGTAGTTACAAAAATTATTGTTTTGATTTCTTTTTTTATAAGTAATACAATATTAGGATTTCAATTCATATTTTAGTATTATCAAAATTCCAATTCAATGCTTTAATTATTTATTTTTAAAACTAATAAAAAATTATGTCTTAAAACCAACAAAGATAAGTGTCATTGATGAAATTATAAATATAACTAATACATGGTCAATTGATATGAAACCACAGACAATTATCAATGGTCTTACTTTACACTGGTCTCCCCGCTGCTATGTTTCTTTTACTTTTTCTTTTTCTCTTTATTAAAGTGCTATTGTGGTCACATTTTCCTATGTGCTCTTTTTATTTCATGAGTGATAATCTTGTAACTAATAATTGAAGTTAGATTGAATGTGAATATAATCAACTTTCAAGTCAGTTCCAGGGTGCTAAAGCTAGGCATACATGGCCCTAATATCGAATAAAGCTTCACTAGCTAGAATCGATAATTAATCAAAGGAAATAATAACAATCATGACCTTAACCTACGAATGAATTTTCCCACAACTGGAGGCGAAACCAGCTGGAAACTTTAGCTACTGACCACTTTTTTGCCTGTGAATTATCTGCAAATTGCATTTTACGAAGCATAAGAAAAAAACAAAAAATTAGAGTTTGAAAGCGAATATAAACTGTTTATCATCTGTCTCTGAAGCACAAAAACTGAAAAAGAAAATTAATTCTCTTCTCTCAAAACTTCCATTTCCAAAGAAGAAGCGGTTGGGAACCATGGCGGATGCAGTTGTCTCAGTTGTGGTGAACAAGCTTGGAGACTATCTTGGAGACTATCTGAAACAAGCAGCAGCTTTCTTACAAGTGAGAAGTGAAGTGGAGTCGCTGAAAAAAGATCTGGAATGGATGCTTGGTTTCGTGAAGGATGCTGAAGATAAACAAGTCGACAACTCTTTGATACGCCTATGGGTGTCTGATATCAAAGATATTGCTTATGATTCTGAGGATGTCCTTGATAAATTTATGCTCAAAGTCCGAGATGGAGAGATCGCTCCAGAAATGCTCAAAGTGAAAGAAGAAGCGTCTTCTAATAAAAGGCAAAAGATCATGACTTCCATGAAAAAGCCAATTGCTAAATTGTCTCGCAAGGCCAAGGAGACGGTGACTATGTACAAGATAGGCAAGGAGATTGAAGCTCTGAAAAATAGACTCAGTGACGTTTCTGATAGACGTGTATTTTATGGCCTTAGAAACATCAATATCAAGACGGACGAAGAGAATCATGCTCTTAGAAGAATGAAGCAGCTGAGAAAAACCACCTCCTTTTCGTTAGAAGAGAAAGTTGTTGGCTACGAGGACGAGACCAACGAACTGCTGGCTAAACTACTTGCCGATGAGCCAAGGCGTTGGGTGATCTCTATTTGGGGCACTGGTGGCTTGGGTAAGACAACTCTTGCTGGAAAACTTTACAAAAACAGTGAAATAAAAAAAGTATCAATAATAGCATTGAGAAATTGTAATATTTTTAAATAAGTTAAAATTATATAGGAAGGATTAATACGAGAATCAGATTACTCGGGTGGTTTTTGAACCTAAGCTTACAAAATTGAGTTTAATCCCTCTTCCAGCTGAATGGGAAGAAAAAAATTATTAGACAAGTTTTGATAGTTCATAACTCATATGAATTAAGCTGATACAAAAACAATTTGGTGTCAAAGTTGAGCGGTAATACCTATATTCTCATATGCGTCAACATTTTTTTCTCCTCTAAATGAAAAAAGAAACTAGAAACTGCTGCTTTAAAACTGTTTTTCTGGAAAAAAATCAGTTAAGGCAGAGGATAACAGGGAGGCAAAGAGAGGCTCTATAGAATTTTTTCTTGAAAGAATTTAAGGAAGTGTAGCAGTTGAAGATAAACTTTGGGTCCAAGGGCCGAAAAGTAGATCATAAGTTCATAAGAAGGAAGAGAACATCGCAATATATTAGACTATCAAAGTTAGTCATTGGGCCTAATTAAGCCAAACACAGAGTATGAGACGAATAAATGGACAATGGGTACAAGCAAAAATTATCAGTAAACTTTAGAGTTAGGCTCTATAAATCCAGAGAGCAAGCCAGGCCAAGTGGTTGATGAGGTGAACACTTACATTTTACTCCAAACATTACCCAGACATTCATACACTCACATTTGAGTAATTGATACTTTCTCAAGTACATATGATTGCTCAAACACAAAGAGATTATGTTGAGTCTAATTGGCTTAGAGATCACGAGTTAATTCGAGGGAAGCCTTGACATAGATAATATTCAAGGTGAGTTTTTTTAGTATTTTGATATAGTTTTTGAAAAAGTAAGATTTATGTAATAACGAGGTAGAATTTAAAAATTATAAAAACACTCTAAGTTTGTTAATTTAATAAACACCCCTGTAATTTAATCGTGAGAATCTATACTTACCAACCCATAGAAATTTCCCACAACTTGCGATGAAACCAGCTGAAACTTCACCTAGTGAACAGTTTGTTGAATTAATTAACTACAAATTGCATTTTATGAAGCTAAGAAAAGAACAATACAAAATTAGATTTTAAAGCGAATATCAACTGTTTATCCTCTTCCCCGAAGACACAAAACTGAAAGAAATTAATTCTCCTTTAAACCTACAATTTCCAAAGGGAGAGATCTTTAGTGAAAAAAGAAAAAAAAAACAACAGTAGCTTGGAAACCATGGTGGATGCAGTAGTCTCATCTGTGGTAACAGGCTTAAGACTATCTAATCCAAGAAGCAGCCTTCTTTCGAGGGATAAGAATTGATGGAGTCACTGAAAAAACAGGATAGCTTCTAAAAGAAAGCAAGGACTCTTAACTTCCATGAAGAAATCCATTGCTAAATCTTCTCGCAAGGGCAAGGAGAAGGTGAGTATGTACAAAATAGGCAGGGAGATTGAAGCTCTGAAAAAGAAGCTCAGTGATGTCTCTCGAAGACGTCAAGAGTATGGTCTTGAAAATATCAATACCAAGAGGGAAAGAGAGAGCCCTGATTTTGACAAATTGAAACAACTGAGAAAAACCAACTGCTTTTCGTTTGAAGGGAATGTTGTCGGCTACAAGGATGAGACCGGGAAATTGTTGGCTAAACTACTTGACAATGAGCCAAGGCGATATGTGATCTCTATTTGGGGCACTGGTGGTTTGGGAAAGACAACTCTTGCTCGAAAACTTTACAACAACAGTAAAATTAAGCAAATATTTAGTTATAGTGCTTGGGTTTCTGTATCTCAAGATTACAACACTCAAGATCTTCTTGGAAGAATTATAAAGTCTCTCTATTCCGGAAATACACCAGAGAAGTTTGAGAGGATGAGTCAAGATGATATGGAGAGGTATCTTCATAAGTCTTTGCAAGGATGCAGATATTTGGTGGTAATTGATGATGTATGGCACAAAGAAGCATGGGCAAGCCTCAAAAGAGCTTTTCCAGACAACAAGAATGGAAGCAGAGTAATTATTACCACTCGCATCAAAGATGTTGCTGAAAGTTCAGATCAAAGAACTCATATACATGAACTTCGATTTTTAAACCAAGAGGAGAGTTGGCAGCTATTCTGTGAGAAGGCTTGTTGCAAGTTCAATATAGATGAAGGATTGGAGAAGTTGGGAAGAGAAATGGTAGAAAAATGTGGCGGTCTACCACTTGCCATTGTTGTGTTAGGCGGTTTACTGTCAAGAAAGAAGCCACAAGCATGGAATTTGGTACGCGATAATATTTGGCGGCATTTAAGAAATGATAACATGGAGATAACACAGTTATTGGCTTTAAGCTTCAATGATTTACCTTATCAATTGAAGTTGTGTTTTCTCTACTTAAGTAATTTTCCAGAAGACAAGGAAATCAAAACAGAGAAACTAATTCGCTTGTGGGTGGCTGAGGGTTACATACCGCATGATGAAGAAATAATGGAAGATATGGCTCTCAATTACTTGAACGAGTTGATTAACAGAAGCCTTATTCAGAAAGGAAAAATGCGGTTGGGAATGGTTACAACATGTCGAGTCCATGATCTTTTGCGGGATTTAGCAATTCAAAAGGCAAAAGAACTCAATCTTGTTCAAATTTATGACGAAATCAGAAACTCAGCTCATTCTTCAAAGGTATCATGTCGACGACTAGCTGTCTATACTGGGAACTACAGGACCTTGAGGCTTCGACAGTGTAATCCGCTCTTGCGTTCTCTTTTGATCTTTGATCGCGATAGATTGCTTCCTACGTTAACGCAATTCATACCGACTCTGTGTACAAAATTCAGGTTCTTAAGAGTGCTCGAGTTTGAACGTGGCTATCCACGAAGCTGCTCCTTACCCAAAGATATAGGTAAGTTGATTCACTTGAAGTATTTGGGAATCCAAGATTCTGTAAATATTCCGGAATCGATTCTCAACTTGTCGAATCTAGAAACTCTGCACTTTAACAAGGGATGGGCTAGTGATTGTTACTCTCCACCAACCGAAATTTGGAAGCTGAAAAGTTTGAGACATCTAATTGGAGACCTTGATTGGCCATTGCGGATAGATAATATGACAAACCTTCAGACTTTGAAGGTTGTACGGGATAACACTTGGACTAAAACAAATTCTGAAACATTGGTTAATCTTCGAGAGCTAGAGCTACTTGTGTGCCATGAAAGAGAGAAGAAGTTCACTTTCGATTCTATTGCCAAACTGAAAAGTATTCAAATTTTAACGGTCAAGTTATCAGATTTTCATTTTTTTCCTACATTGCAACCACTCTCTCATTGTCGATATCTCCGACACTTGAAATTAGATGGGAAGATGGAGAAACTACCAGGAGAAATGCATGTACTTTTGCCAAATGTGGAAAGCCTATCGTTAACGTGGTCCAAACTCGTAGATGACCCGATGCCAATACTGGAGAAGATGTTGAACCTCACAGAACTTGAATTAGGCTTAGGTTGTTACCTTGGAAAGAAGATGGTGTGCACGGCAAAGGGTTTTCCCCGGCTTGAATTTTTAATACTTGATCAGATAGATTTAGAGGAGTGGCAGATAGAGGAAGGAGCTCTGCCTGTGCTTAGAGGTTTGCGGTTACTAAAGCATCTGCATAGCCTTCCAAAAAGATTGAAATCACTCCCTCGCCTACCTTAGTGGTGATTATTGTGCTTGTACTGTATTTTCTTTCAAATTTAATTTGTCTTTTGGTCATCGTTTGGGTTTTTTTTATAATGTTTCAATTTTAAATATGCGAGCCTCTTTACTCATCAAAGTACCATAATACTTCTTGGTAGTGGTATCAGCTTACAGAGAAATAGAAGTGCAGTATCAAATACTAAGTATTTTAGAAATTGTGAATATTTTAAAAATAAGTTTAAAATTATATAGAAAGGATTAATACGAGAATCAGATTAAGCTGATACAAAGAAACAATTTGGCGTCAAAATGAGAGGTTGAGCGTAATAACCTATAATTATCATATGAGTCAACATTTTTTTCTCCCTCTAAAATGATAAAAGGGACTATGAAACTGCTGCTCCAAAACTGAAATTTTCTCGAAAAAAATCAGTTAAAGGCAGAGGATAAACAGGGGAGCAAAGAGAAGGCTCAATAGAATTTTTTCAGCTTTGTTACAAAAAAAGGTGCTCAGTAGCAGGCCTGCAATCGAACCGAACATGAACGAACAGGCCCGTTCGAAAATCGTTCGATAAGCATGTTCGATTGTTCGTGTTCGTGTTCGAACGAACATAGGATGTGTGTTCGTGTTCGTTCGATTAACAAAAAGCTCGTTCATGTTCGTTCGTAACTCGTTCGTGTTCGTTCGACTAACTTGTTCGACTAACTCGTTCGATAATATGTAAATACCTGTTCGACTAACTCGTTCGATAATTTGTAAATACATGTTCGACTAACTCGTTCAATAACTCGTAAATACATGTTCGAATACCTGTTCGAATAAAAAATGTACACCAACTTTCCAATTCATGCTCTAAAAAACAAATATGCAACAATTTATAATTCATACCGATTTAATTCAACATTTGAAAATAAACCAACTCTTTATCTATATTTATATTTTAAACAAATCAATAAAAACTCAGTAAATTAAAATAACTAACCATCATAAATAATAGAACTTCAAAATAAATTAAACAGAACAATAAATCGTTCAAAACAAATTTAGTTCCATATCAAACATGACACAAATAAAAGAAATTTGTTTACATATATATTTATTATCATTACATAAATTATCCTAAATATTTTAAATGTTTACATATATATTTTGTATCAACACCCATAAATTTATAGTGGAATGAAATACATATGTGTGATTAATTTGTTATATATATATTATATCAACACCCATAAATTCATAGTGAAATGATGGCCTATTATAATATATGATCAATACATATGTATGATTAATTTGTTATATATAATGTGTAATTGTGTATATACAAAATTATTATCATACATATATTAATCATAGGTTAAATATGTTACGAAATTACCAAAATTATAGGTTATCATATATTTATTATCATTACATAAATTATTATAAATATTTTAAATGTTTACATATATATTTTGTATCAACACCCATAAATTTAGAGTAAAATGAAAATCTATTGTAATATATGATCAATACATATGTGTGATTAATTATATTTTTATATATATATATATTATCATTACTGTCTACATATTTATTTTGTACCAACACCTATAAATTCATAGTGATATGAGAGTTTATTGTAATATATGATCAATACAAATGTGTGATTAATTTAGGTTTAATTAAACTATTATATTATTAAATTTGGTATGCTATACATCACTTGATTATACAATATGTTATGTTTATCAATTTACCATACTATATTTATTATTTATTAATTGAAATGCTATCTTATAATATTTAATTATTGATTACATTTAGAAAAATATGAAGCTATTATGTTATTGGATTTACTATATTATATATCACTTGATTATACAATTTATTATGTTATTAAATTTGTTATGCTATGTATCATAATAATTTATTACTTTTTAATTAAAATGCTATATACTTATATATTTAATTATTGATGACATTTGGAAAAAAAAAAAATCCAAACATATTATATATATAAGAAAAACAAAAGTATCATAATATTTTATTATTGATTACCATTAAAAAAAATTCATCCAAACTAAATCAAACATAATATAAAAATGAAATTTTTTTTTTTTTAATTAGAATAATGTATAACATGTTTTTCGAACATAAACGAATGAACAATCGAACGATTGTTCGCGAACAGATGGATTAGTCGAACGTATAGTGTTCGCAAATATAATCGAACGAACAACCCCTGTTCGAACTCGATCGAACATATTATCGAACAAATATCGAACTGTTCGCGAACATTATCGAACAGTAATCGAACGAACAACAAATGTTCACGAACTGTTTGGTTCATTTGCAGCCCTACTCAGTAGTAAGAGTTTCCGGCTGGACTTCTACTACCATGTATTAAGAAAGGTTATATGAATGGCCAATAAATGCAAAAAATTCAAGAACCAATCAACACATGACAATATTTAACCACTCGGAACTTTTAGTTGAGATTTTATGCTAACGACAATGTTTATCATATTAAGGTTATGAGATTAGGTTGTGATTAAATTGATCCAAATAGATTCTTTTGGGGGAACACCCAGATAGCAGAGAGTTTGCTTTATTGAAAGGAAGTGTAAGCAGTTGAAGATAAAACTTTGGGTCCAAAGGGCCGAAAAGTAAAGAGATCATAAAGTTCATAAGAAGGAAGAGTAACATTACGCAATAATATTAGACTAATCAAAGTTAGTCAATTGGGCCTAATTAAGCCCAAACACAGAGTATGAGACAAGAATAAAATGGGTCAATGCAAAGTAACAAGCCCAAACTCAAATTGCTTATCAAGTAAACTTTAGAGTTGAGGCTCTATAAAATCCTAGAAGCAAGCCAAGGCCAAGTGTGTTGTATGAGGTGAACACTTACATTTTACTCCAAAACATTACCCCAGCATCCTATACACTCACATTTGATAGTAATTGCATACTTTCTCAAGTACATATGATTGGCTCAAACATCAGAGAGGTTATGTTGAGTCTAATTAGGCTTAGAGTCACATATGGTTAATTCGAGGGAAGCCTTAGACATAGATAAAATATTCAAGAGTGAGTTTATTTTAGTATTTTGGATATAGTTTTTGAAAAAGTAAGAGTTTGATGATAATAACGAGGTAGAATTTAAAAATTATAAAAACACTCCCTAAGTTTGTTAATTTAATAAACACCCCTGTAATTTAATCGATGGAAATAACAACTATAATGCTACCAACCCATAGAAATTTCCCACAACTTGCGATGAAACCAGCTGAAAACTTCACCTAGTGAACATGTTTTGTGAATTAATTAACTACAAATTGCATTTTATGAAGCATAAGAAAAGAACAAATACAAAATTAGATTTTAAAGCGAATATCAACTGTTTATCCTCCATCCCCGAAGCACAAAAACTGAAAGAAAATTAATTCTCCTTTTAAACCTACAATTTCCAAAGGGAGAGATCTTTAGTGAAAAAAGAAAAAGAAAAAACAACAGTAGCTTGGGAACCATGGTGGATGCAGTAGTCTCATCTGTGGTTAACAGGCTTGAAGACTATCTAATCCAAGAAGCAGCCTTCTTTCGAGGGATAAGAATTGAAGTGGAGTCACTGAAAAAACATCTAGAATGGATGAACTGTTTCATTAGCGGCCGGGGCGGGGAGACCTCTATTTTTGTCCCCACCCTATCCTCAAGGACGGGGAATTTCCCAGTCCCCGTCCTTGTCCGCGTCCCCCATTTTTTGGTATGAAGGGAAGTGATTTTGAACAACTAATGCTAATTGAGCTACACTAAAACTTTTTGAGGCCCATTTTATATAATATCATTATTAACTATTATTTGATCAAATACATCATAATTTATTCCAAAACTGTCTTTTTTATCAATATAGTAAAACCTCTTTATAGTCATAACGGTGGAATCAATTAGAGATTATAACTTAATAGAGATGTAGTTACAAAAATTATTATTTTGATTTCTTTTTTTATAAGTAATACAATATTAGGATTTCAATTCATATTTTAATATTATCAAAATTTCAATTCAACGCTTCAATTATTTATTTTTAAAACTAATAAAAAATCATATCTTCAAACCAACAAAGATAAGTGTCATTGATGAAATTGTAAATATAACTAATGCATGGTCAATTGATATGAAACCACAGACAATTGTCAATGGTTTTAAGTACTACAAAATTAGGATTCTCGATGTCAATAAATTGCAAGTTGCAAATGAAGTGGATGAGAATAATAAAAAAGTCATTGCAGAATTGAGTAGTCAGATTCGACAATTTTACTACACCAAACAAATGAATATTAATTTCTTCCTCGATCATCCAAATGAACAACAAATTGTGTGTGCTTTAATTAAAGAAGAAATCATTGTTGTAATTAGATAAGAAGAGAAAATAAATAATCCTAAGGATGATAGTATGAAAATATAAAAAGTTTTGAACCATAAAGCTCTAATGATGCTTGAGAAGTTAAAAATATTTTGATAAGATACATATTATTAAAATAATTATAAAATCCAATCTTGTATGTTCCATAAATTATAATTAAGAAAAATTAATAAAATAAAAAGCTTGTTTTTCCTGTATCTTTATAAAAGACCTGCTAGTCAATCAAACTTTATTACAAAATAAAAAGAGGAGAAGGGTGATTATGTTTCTTTTACTTTTTTTTCTTTTTCTCTTTATAAAGTTCAATTGTTATGCTAATTGTAGTTTCGGTGAACAGAGGAGAAGGCAAGGAAGCCCAGAATACTTTACACTGGTCTCCGCCTATTATGTTCTTTACTTTTTCTTTTTCTGTTGAGTAAACGACATATTCCCACCCAGGTTTGACGAAATCCCAGATGAGTACCACAGGTTCAATTATTCTAGATTCTCACCCTTAAAGTAACAGGTTTATGAACTTTAGGGTTTAGAGCGTGCAATTACCATAATGCCCTAACCCTAAATTAATAAATTATGTTAACCCCTAATTTATTAGAATTATAAAACTACCATTTTATTTTCAAATTATATCAAAAACACCCTCGGTCACTACACACCCTCATCGGAAACAGCCCGATCTGGGCTGTTTCGACGACGTCGAATGCCTGGTCACTCCATCACCTTCCCTGTAGTCCGGCGTCCAAAACCCCTCTGGTTTCCGACTATTTGCCCCTCCAATCGCCGGCAACGTTAGGTTGTGTTTCGGTGTTCTTCACCGGATTCCGGTCGATTTGATGGTGAAAATCCAATTAGACACCACCAATGAAACCATCGTATCTGATCTTAAAATCCCTGTCCCCAGTAGCTGTTTTCGGCGTCATTCGCCGGCCAAGAGTTCGTGTTCTTCGGCGTTTTTCGATGGTGGTGGACAGCAAACGGTTGAGCTGTCGTGGCTGGAAAGGTTAGGGGTTTTGTAGGGGAGGATTCGAGGAGTCAAATGGTGGTGACAAGGGTGATTTTGGGTGGAAAAATCGCCGAAAAAAGTGCGAAAAACGTTTACCGGCGATGGTCTGCTAATGTACGTCGGAGGACTGTTACAGGCGGTGGTCTGCTAACGTGAGCCGCTCATGTAAAATGACCAATTTACCCCTTTACTGCTACATCAAACGTTTTTCCGTCACTTTAAGGGTGCGAATCTGAAATAAATGGAACATGTGGTACTCAATTGGGATTTCGTCAAACCTTGGCTGGCAATATGTCGTTTACTCTTTTCTGTTTATTAAAGTGCTATTGTGGTCACATTTTCCAATGTGCTCTTTTTATTTCATGAGTGATAATCTCGTAACTAATAATTGAAGTTAGATTGAATGTGAATATAATCAACTTTCAAGTCAGTTCCAGGGTGCTAACGCTAGGCATACATGGCCCTAATATCGAATAAACTTCACTAGCTAGAATCGAAAATTAATCAAAGGAAATAATAACAATCATGACCTTACCCTACGAATGAATTTTCCCACAACTGGAGGCGAAACCAGCTGGAAACTTTAGCTACTGACCAAATTTTTGCCGGTGAATTATCTGCAAATTGCATTTTACGAAGCATAAGAAAAAAACAAAAAATTAGAGTTTGAAAGCGAATATAAACTGTTTATCATCTGTCTCTGAAGCACAAAAACTGAAAAAGAAAATTAATTCTCTTCTCTCAAACCTTCCATTTCCAAAGAAGAAGCGGTTGGGAACCATGGCGGATGCAGTTGTCTCATTTGTGGTGAACAAGCTTGGAGACTATCTTGGAGACTATCTGAGACAAGCATCAGCTTTCTTAGAAGTGAGAAGTGAAGTGGAGTCGCTGAAAAAAGATATGGAATGGATGCTTGGTTTCGTGAAGGATGCTGAAGATAAACAAGTCGACAACTCTTTGGTACGCCTATGGGTATCTGAAATCAAAGATATTGCTTATGAATCTGAAGATGTCCTTGATGAATTTATGCTCAAAGTCCGAGATGGAGGGATCGCTCCAGAGATGCTCAAAGTGGAAGAAGAAGCGTCTTCTAATAAAAGGCAAAAGATCATAACTTCAATAAAAAAGTCAATTGCTAAATCTTCTCGCAAGGCCAAGGAGACGGTGACTATGTACAACATAGGCAAGGAGATTGAAGCTCTGAAAAAGAGACTTAGTGACGTTTCTCGTAGACGTGCATTTTATGGCCTTAGAAACATCAATATCAAGACGGACGAAGAGAATCATGCTCTTAGAAGAATAAAGCAGCTGAGAAAAACCACCTCCTTTTCGTTAGAAGAGAAAGTTGTTGGCTACGAGGACGAGACCAACGAACTGTTGGCTAAACTACTTGCCGATGAGCCAAGGCGTTGGGTGATCTCTATTTGGGGCACTGGTGGCTTGGGTAAGACAACTCTTGCTGGAAAACTTTACAAAAACAGTGAAATAAAAAAAAAATTTCGTTGTGCTTGGGTTTCTGTATCTCAGGATTACAACAATGAAGATCTTCTTCGAAGGATTATAAAATCTTTTGCTTTTTCTGCGAAGGAATTGGATAGAATGAGTGAAGAAGACTTGGAGAGGTATCTTCATAAATGTTTGCAAAAATACTCGTACTTGTTGGTAATTGACGATGTATGGCACAAAGAAGCATGGGCAAGCCTCAAAAGAGCCTTTCCAGACAATAAGATGGGTAGCAGAGTAATTATTACCACTCGATACAAAGATGTTGCAGAGCGTTCAGATGAAAGAACTCATGTACATGAACTTCGATTTTTAAAGCCAGATGAGAGTTGGCAGTTATTCTGTGAGAAGACCTTCTGGAATTTAAATATAGATAAAGGATTGGAGAAGTTAGGAAGAGAAATGGTAGAAAAATGTCGCGGTCTACCACTAGCCATTGTGGTATTAGGTGGTTTACTGTCAACAAAGAAGCCACAAGAGTGGCATTCGGTGCGTGATAATATCTGGCAAAATTTAAGTAAGGATTCCTTGGATATCACGTATTTATTCTCTTTAAGCTTCAAAGATTTGCCCTATCAATTGAAGTTATGCTTTCTCTACCTAAGCCATTTTCCAGAAGACTCCGAAATTAATACAGATAAATTAACCCGATTGTGGGTGGCTGACGGTTACATACCGCATGATGAAGAAACAATGGAAGATGTTGCTTACAGTTACTTGTATGAGTTGATTAACAGGAGCCTTGTTCACAAGGAAAAAATGCGGTTGAGGACAGTTATGACGTGTCGAGTTCATGATCTTTTAAGGGATTTTGCAATTCAAAAGGGCAAAAGAGCTCAACTTGATTCAGATTTATGATGAAATCAGAAGCTCAGCCGGCTCTTCAAAGCTATTACGCCGACAACAATTCATTTATTCTGGGATGAATAGCAGCTCGTGGCTTCAACAGTTTAATCCGCCCCTGCGTTCTCTTTTGTTCTTTGATCTCTATCAAGAGCATCCTACGGTAGAGCAAATGATACCAACTTTGTGCGCAAGATTCAGGTTTTTAAGAGTGCTCGAGTTTGGATGTTTCAATGGAAGATCAGGGTGGACCTTACCCAAAGATATAGATAAGTTGATTCTCTTGAAGTATTTGGGATTAAGAGATACACTGGTTCAAAGTATTCCACCATCAATTCTCAACTTGTCGAATCTAGAAACTCTTGACTTACTCGATCAGACGAGGTCTGGTGTCACTCTACCAACTGAAATTTGCAAGTTGCAAAATCTGAGACATCTAATTGGGAATTTTGGAGGGCAATATTTCCGGATAGACAATATGAAAAACCTTCAGACTTTGAAGTGTATAGGCGATGACACTTGGACTAAAACCAATCCAGAAAAATTGGTTAATCTTCGCGAGCTGCATGTGTCTTTTTACCGTGAAAGACAGGACGAGATCACTTTTGATTCTTTTGCCAAACTGAAAAACCTTCGAATTTTGTCGGTTATATTATCAAGAAATGACTTTTTTGCTTCACTGCAACCACTCTCTCATTGCCGACATCTCCTACACTTGAGCTTAAATGGGAAGATGGAGAAACTACCAGAAGAAATGCCCGTACTTTTGCCAAATCTCGAACGCCTATCGATGTGGAGCTCCAAGCTTGTAGATGACCCGATGCCTACATTAGAGAAGATGCTGAACCTCACAGTACTTGATATATGGAACGATTGTTATTTGGGAAAGAAACTAGTATGCACAGCAAAGGGTTTTCCTCGGCTTGAAATTCTTCTTGTTGATGCAAAAGATTTAGAGGAGTGGCAAGTAGAGGACGGTGCTATGCCTGTGCTTAGAGGTTTAAATATAAATAACAACTCCAGATTCAGAATTCCAGAAAGATTGAGATCAATCCCTCGCCCAGATGAATGGGAATCCTATAAAAGTTACGACGGCGACTCGAGATAATTCAAAAACCTCCAAGGTATACTTGTTCTTAATTTAATTTATTGTTATTTTTATCTTTCAATTTGTCATTTGTCCGGATACGAAGAATGTTATTTGTACTCCTACCTGCAATCTTTTCATCATGTCACCTTTAATATATGTTGTTCATAGTTTATAGGGGGTTAATTGATTATTGGCAGACGTTGATGCACTCAGGATTCCCGCTCCCCGATGAGTGGGTTGCGGTTCCTATAATACCCATATTTTATGGGTTATTTTATGAACTTTATTTTGTGTTCTCGGGTGGAAAAATGTGAGTTTCTAAATTTTGTTGAGGACATTTTGCAAGAAAAGCTGATGTGCCTGGGTCAGGGTGCGAATAAAATAATATTTGGGGCAATTTCACAATTTTATTCTAATTGTTGCGGATTTCTATAACAAGAAGTACGAATTTTCATAGTTTATTAACCGTTCATTAACGATAAGAAAATGTTTATTATTTTAAAATTTTCAAGAGAATTTTTGTTATTATATCTTATATTTGCGGATTAATGTTATTTTATCTTCTTGGTCAAGGCCCTCTTTTTATCCCACATACGCGTACACCCACACAGATTCTAACATCATCTAAAAGGGTTAGTGAATATTAAACAACCACATAAATAGAGAATATGAATATAAATGAAGAACATGTACATAAATAAAGAACAAGAACATAAATAAAAACATAAATATTAAACATGTTAAAAAATATAAATTAAAACATAAATTTAATATCAACGGATAGAGACATCACGACTATCAGTTTTGAGGAAAGAGTACAATCTAACTGTTCATATTTATTGGACCGCATTAATATGATCACCATGTCATCGTCATCCTAACACTTGCCACCTCTCTTCTAGGTTACGATTGCCACGTGCACTTTTTTTGAAATCCAAACTATTAATTTCTTGAAATAATTTTGGTAACTACAATGCATTGCTCTCGGCCCAATTCAAATTGGGCTGACACATTAGGCCCAAGTATATAATAGGACAATATTAATTCCATCAAGAAGCTGGATACGCCCAATTTTATTTCTAATTCCAACTTTAATTTTCATTTAATTTTACATTTTCAATCATACAATAAAAACTTATATACAAATTATTACAATCTTATGACTATAATACCCTCGTGATATAAAAATCAAAAAGAGTTACTCGCACCTTTTTTTTCCCCAAAGTATTACTAAATAACTCTCTTCCTCATTAAATATTTAAAATAACAATTTATCTTTACACGTGGTATTTTATAAGAATCTTGTTGTTTAATTTAATAATCCAAGCGTAAATTTGGTGTAACCACAACCAAAAAAAAAAAAAAAAATGTGAGTTTCTAAATTTTGTTGGGGGCATTTTGCGAGAAAAGCTTATGTGCCTAGGTCAGGGGCGAATAAAATAATATTTGGGACAATTTCAAAATTTACTCTAATTGTTCCAGATTTCTATAGCAATAAGTATGAACTTTCATAGTTTACTAACAGTTCGTTAACAATAAGAAAATTCTTGTTATTTTAGAAACTTCAAGAAAATTTTTGTTACTATATCCTACATATGAAGATTAATTTTATTATCTCTTCTTATTTAAGAAGGAGAAAGTCAACTAAACAGTGACAATCAGAAGCTCGGGCAATATCAAGTGATAAAGACATCGCGATTATCAGTTTCGAGGAAAGAGTACAATCTAACGGTCCCATCCTTATCAAACCACATTAGCATGAGTACCATGTCATTGTCATCCTATCACACACCACCTCTCTTTTACGTTACGATGTTGTCACGTGTACTTTCTCAAAATCTAAACTATTAGGCTCTGTTTGTTACCTTATTGGGATACTATTATTAGTATTCTCAATAAAGTTAAATAGTAAAATTAATTTATTTTTAAAATATTATTTAATTTTTTTTAAACTCCCTAAATTTGTTAATTTAACTAAATATCTCTAAATATTTTTTTTAGAAATTACAAAAACACCCTAGCAACCCTCTGGTTGTTGTATTTAATGGGTGAGTTGGGGTGTTTTTGTTAACTTTTAATATTTTATTATAGGAGTGTTTAGTAAATAAACAAATATAAGGGGTATTTTTTATTAATTTTTAAATCCTATATCGTAATATCTGCCCAATTAAATATTTTTTAAAATATTATTCTAAAAAATATCAGAATAATAAACCAAACTCACCCTTAATTTCTTGAAATAATTTTGGTAACTATAATGCATTGCTCCCAGCCCAAGTCAAATTGGGCTGACACATTAGGCCCAATTATATATAGAACAATATTCATTCCATCAAGAAGCTTGATAAGCCCAATTTTATTTGTCTCCATCTTTAATTTTCATTTAATTTTAATTTCCAATCATATAATAAAAAATTATATATAAATTACTACAATTTTATGACTATAATACCCTTGTGATATAAAACTCAAAAAAGAGTTACTTGCAATTTTTTTTTTTTTTTTTCCAAAAGGATTACTAAATAACTCTTTTCCTCCTTAAATATCTAAAATAGCAATTAATCTTTTACCGTTGCTATTTTATAAGGATTTTAGTGTTTAATTTAACAGTTCAAAGGTAAATTTTGTATAATGGCCGACCAAAAAAAAAAAAAAAAAAAGGTATGTCATTATCAAGGGCGGAGCTATTTTCATTCTCTTCTCTTAAACCTACCAGTTCCAATTGGAGAGATGTTTATTGAAAAAAAAAAAAAAAAAAAAAAAAAAAACCAAAACCATATACAATTATGAAGATATGTATATGTTATTATCACATAATTATGAAGAGACATTAGATTATTGTTATAATACATATATGTTATGGTTTCAATTTAATGTTTTTTTAAGCCATTTGTGGCAATGATGAGTATCTACCGGTTGTGATTTCATCTGGTTTAAGCTTTTATCATATATTCATTCTCTAAACATATATATATTCTATATTTTGCACTTCAAACGATGATGTATTAACTAGTTTGATTGTCATATGTATTATGTGATTTTTTATCTATAATGTGTAACTTTAAATCAATATTACATTATTTATAATGCAAAACTATGCGAAAGAATCGACCCAGTGTATTAGGACACAAAATATACTCCCTTCTTTGGTTGGGCCAAAATTAATTGCTTAGGAATAATAAAGCCTGCAATAGTGCCTAAATAATTGGGCCATGCTAATTCACTTACTTTTCGTGAATGAAGTTTTAATTTTACTTAAATAAAATACATGATTATGATTAAGAATAATGCTACATATACAATATTATATGGTAAAAGATGATTGAGTGAAAATTTAATTTTCATTTAAAGTTTTTGTTTGGTTGAATGTGAATATGATGAACTTTCAAGTTAGTTTCAGGATGTTAATGTTGGGCATCTGTGGCCCAACACTGAAAAACTTTTGACTAGAATGAATAAAGCTAGAGTCGGAATTTAATCAATGGAAATAACAACTATGAAAGAGAGAAGAAGTTCACTTTCGATTCTATTGCCAAAATGAAGAGTCTTCAAATTTTAACGATCCTTTTTTCAAATGATCATTTTTTTCCTACATTGCGACCACTCTGTCATTGCCGATATCTCCGACACTTGATATTACTTGGGAAGATGGAGAAACTACCAGGAGTAATGCATGTACTTTTGCCAAATGTAGAAAGCCGAACGTTATGGAAACCCAAACTCGTAGATGACCTGATGCCAATATTGGAGAAGATGTTGAACCTCACAGAACTTGAATTAATTTGTTGTTACCATGGAAAGAAGATGGTGTGCACGGCAAAGGGTTTTCCCCAGCTTGCAATTTTAAGACTTGCTACGAGAGATTTAGAGGAGTGGCAGATAGAGGAAGGAGCTCTGCCAGTGCTTAGAGGTTTGCAGTTAGCAGACCATAGCCGATTCAAACTTCCAGAAAGATTGGAATCAGTCCCTCTCCTACCTTGATGGTGATTGTTGTGTTTGTACTGTATTTTCTTTCAAATTTAATTTGTCATTTGGCCATCATTTGGGTTTTTTATATTGTTTCAGTTGTAAATATGTGAGCCTCTTTACTCATCAAAGTACCATAATACTTCTTGGTAATAGTATCAGCTTACAGAGAATCAGTATTTGAGAAATTGTGAATAGTTTTTTAGCCCGGGATTTACCCAAAGATATAGGCAAGTTGATTCACTTGAAGTACTTGGGATTAAATGACATTGACCCGTCCTAACCCTCTCTATCCCATAGGCTCAAGGCGCACCCATGGGACTCGGGTGACCGAGACGTGTCATGTGAAAAACCGTAAAATCTATTTTTTGAATATACTTCTCGTAAAAACATAACATATGATATATAAATATTTGAAAATCTGAAAATATATCACATTCATTTTATAAACTTGAAAAACATGAGGTATCAGAGTTTTCAAATCTTACAATCAGCAAATGAGATAAACATCTGAAATAAAACATAATTCTGCATCGGAATAAACATGACATTTTTACATAATATACATTGCATTCTCATCCAAGATATGCTCATGGTAATAGGTAGGAAACCGTATGAATGCAATCTTAACATTTAAACAAACACTCATATTAATACATAGGAAGCCATATGAATGCAGAATTTAAACACTTAAAAATAAAACTAAAGAACAACTTTCCACCACCACGGCATTCAAAAGAAATGCCCAACAATTCCACTGACTAGCATGCCGCGGCACTGCAGTTTCTTTGCCGCTGCAATGCTTCATTTCCAGCCAGATTCTGGTTTCTTCAACCCAGCAATTTAGCCACTAACCCCTCTTTCCAGTCCACCCAAAACCAAGTATATTAGGCATGCAAAAAAGTTGCCAATATAATTCCTCAACATGCATCAATCACTCACACACAATACATTACCAAATTTTGCTACATTCCATCCATCAATTTGTAACCATACCACACAACAATAACAAAATTTAGCACCAGCCCCACCATATTGGCTGGATTTTTTCT